GTTGCTCAACTCTGCTTCAATTCCAACAAGAGCTCTTCCACTAACAAGAGCCCATTTGAGGTGGTCACTGGACAACTACCAAGGCTACCCCACACTTTCTTGGAACAATATGGAGGAAAAAATCTAAGAGTTTTCAACTTCAGCAATGAGTGGAAACAAAACACAGAGATTGCATAAGCTTACCTGGAGAAGGCATCAAAGCGGATGAAGAAATGGGCAGACAAGAATCGCAGAGCTCAGCAATTCCAAGTTGGTGATTTGGTTTTGGTCTGACTAGTTTCAGAACAAACCAGGTTCTTAAGAAAAGAGATCGTAGACTGGTGCGGTAAATATAAAGGGTCCAGTAAGGGTCATTTCCAAGGTGGGGCAACGCTTCTTACAAAATCACCACACCGAAGTGGATGCAAGGTGTACCCAGTATTCATGTAGCAACCTGAAGCCTTTCCATACAGATCCTACAGATATTAGCCAAAGGGAGCCAACCAGAGTCCGCCATCACCCGATGACGCCACCGCTCAGAGCGTCAGTCCGAAGAGATCTTAGTCGACAGGGAAATCAAGATATCTCGAAGACTAGTTCAGGAATACTTAGTGAAGTGGGAGGGCTTAGGACTAGAAAAAACCAACTGGGAGAGAGAACACGACCTTCAGAGATTTCAAAGGAAGATTAAAAATTTCAAGCCATCAAGTCGATGAGGACGTCGATAGAATAAGTGGGGGAGGATGTCATAAGCCACCCTTGTATAGGGCCATGATCGGGACTTAGGTTGCCATGAGCCACCCATGTATAGGGCCATGGTCGGGTAGATCCCTTGTGCTAGGAAAAGTGTCCCTATTTCAAACATTGTAACGGTTACTGGTAACATAGCTCTAAAAGTTCTAAGGCTCTTTAGGGGGGGTGAGCCGACAGCGTAGTGTTGGGCTGTCTCACCTGGTGCTATGCGAGCTTAGACCACCCACCAAGGGCTGCCCCCTAGCCCTGGTGATGGTGGGAGGTCCCTATGATTCCCGTTTATAATATAACTCACCCCGATTGAATGCCCGATTGTTACCTCGATGTGTTTCTTTCTTTCTCGATGTGAATGTGCCTTGTTATGTGTATGCTTGAGATTGACTTCGATATATTATGCCTTATTGTGAATACTTGAGACTAACCATGATTTATGGTTATTTGTTCAGATCTCGATCTATTGAAGGCTGACTTGGGTGGAAGCATCCATTCAAGTGCCACACGAGCTAGTGCTTGTTGAGAGAAAGCTTAGTCAGTGACACCTAGCATAGAGCAACCTAAATCCCAAAGGATGACAACTCCCTGCTTCCACGACTCCTCCCAACCACCTAAAAATTAAGTGGAAAGATATGATACGGTGAATGAGTTGTCATCAGACTGAAACCCTAAAAGGAAAAAAAAATCCACAGTGAAACGCTTCTTATAATTTTACCAAAATAAGCAGGAGTATTCCATTCCAAGAACCCATGTAGCAAAACCCTTAATTGCTTGAAAGACAAGAATAAAAAAGGCTCTACATTTAACCAAAGTGAAAAAGGAAAAACCATAAAAATTGAAAAGACGGAGAATATCGAATATGTGAGGTGAATTTAGCGAGTTGTTGGGAGTTTTAAGTGTGAAGTAGATACTTACTTGTCAGAAGCGTTGGTGTCAACAAGTTGTTGGAGTTTAAGAAATTGAGGATTGGATTTAACTTTACTACCCGTAGTACGTTGTTGGTTGTTGGTTGTTGTTGTTTTTCATGATAAGAGTTGCTCTGAGAGTGCCAAATTTTGAATCCGGAGGGAGAAGAGAGATCGCGGCATAACTAGGGGTGTAAACGAGTCGAGTCGAGTTGAATAGTGAGAAGCTCGAACTCGAGCTCGACTTACAACTCGAGGCTCGATATTCGGTTCGAGCTCAATCGAGTTTTATTTTTCAAGCTCGAGCTCGATTCGTGATCGAATTCGAGCTACTCGAGCTCGCTCGATTAAGTTCGATTAATATGTAAAAATAAGCTTAATTCGTATACTCGACAAGAGTTCGATTATTCATGCTCAAATTCGAATTCGAACTCAGACTCGAAATATTTTATTAATTAAAATAATAAAAATATATTTAAATATAAAAACTCGATTAAGCTCACGAGCTACTCGAGTCAGATATAAGAATACTCGAATTCGACTCGATCGATAAGTCGAGCTACTCGAGCTCGACTCGACAATAATCAAATCAAATTTGAATTTTTTTCGAATCGAACCCGAATAACTTACGAATACTAATGTATCATTTACACCTCTAGATATAACTTACCTTAACGAGCTTAAATAACCATTGTCAATTAGTAACGTCAGATTTTGCTGTCGTTAGGTCATGTTAGGTGGGTCCAGTATTAAGAAAAAGTACGAATTTGAAGTAAAAAGGTCTACACTCAAAAGGTCTAGTACAACCCAACAAATCAAACAATAAGAAATACTTTTACTATTTTTTTTAAAGGTTGTCTGTATTTAATTTGTTCTGTTCTTTTACTCCCCCAAAAAGATTTGTCATGTCAAGCGAGAACGTGATAGGTGAGAGTACCAACTTCGGCACTACTAATTACACTGTCGAATATTTTTTCAATCATGTCTACTTCGAAGTTCAAACTTTAAAACTTAACTGGAATGACAACATATCATGTCCACAATTAGCTTGCTCGTAACCATAAAAGACTACCACTTCCATTACTACTTCCAAAAGACTACTACTAACACTACACCTACTAGTACAACTGCTCTGTAAGTCTACTACTTCCCAAGGTTCCGCAAATTGAAGGTGATAAGCAGAACAAATTTGGCTGCTAAAAAACCATCTTAGCACACCTTTCAACCTCTATTATTCTAATTACAAAGAATCATAGTCAAAGAGAACCCTATTTGGATAAGCGATAATATCGATTTTGATGAAGTTAAAAAATAACAATGAAAATAAATTAATTATTATAATAATAAAATTTAATTATTATAATGATAAATTAAAATTAATATGATATACATGTTTTAATACAAATACAAAATTAGTAATGAAGAGAAATGTAATAAGAAAAAAAACTATTATTAAAAGCATTAGATTAAAATTTGTATAATAAAATTTTTAGTATATTTTTTATATTTATGAATTAATTTTTATAATAAATAATAAATTTATTAAAAATTAATAACAAAGTTTTACAATTAAAAATTAATTATTTGTTTATGATTTTTAGCTAGTTATTTTAGTAATTAATTTATTAATTATATAAATAGTTTATTAAATAATTATAATGATATTATTTGAAAATATTTAAATAAAAAAATAAAATAAACAATAAAACAAATAAATAATAAAAAAAAAACAAAAGCGAAGGATACAAATAACAGGGACATTATCATCCCAGCACTTTAGTTTTAAGGGTACAAAAAAAAAAAAAAAATGAACATGGGTAATAAAGGAAAGAATGCTATGGTGGGAGTGAAATGTTTTCACTGCATCCTTAAGGTCCAGTCAATTTTTAAGCCTCTAGTGCATTTAAAAATATGAAATACACTGAACTTTCTTTTCTAAACACTTCATCGATTTAGTGGAAACCTAATGAAGCCTAAGAAAGGTTGATGAATTACTGCAAACAGATTGCTATGGCACTCACCACTTCCAAGTGCACTTGATGACGTCAAATCAGAGTTTCAATGCTAAATTACAATCGGAAATTATTAAACGAAAGACTGCTTCCTTGAATCATCCTTTTCATAAATCCCAATTGATCCTTCCTCGTGGATTTCCAATTTATCATATTCCCAAATGGACATCTCCTGAAGGCTACTAGTCTCCACCCCCCCTCTTTCACGTACAGGCTGGCATATAACAAAAATTTTGACCATAGAATCATTACAATGAGAATAATCTTAAAATTACACTATCTTACATAATCTAATGATTAACCTATAAAATAAAAAAAAGTGATTACCAAGTTTATTTATTAAATTAATAGAAATTTCATTTTTGACTTTGTTAGGATATAAATTAAAGATTAAAAATTTATTTTAAGTGTAAATTAAAAACAAATTATTTATTTGAGTATAATAAAAATATAAAAATTTACTTAATTAAAATGATAAATTTTAAAATATTTTTTATTATTTTAGCCTACTCATCACTTTGTTGTGCCTGAAACAGATAACGGATATTGGAGGGCAAAATTATTCACCAACAAGCAAACAGGGGAATTCAGGGATGGATTTTAAGCAAGGGAAGCAAAAACATGGGTTTGCAACGAAGATGTTCAATAAAATAGGAAGACCAAGAAAAAGAATAAAAAAAGAGCAGTAACTAGTATTAAAGTAGTGCGAAGGTTATGTTTGACTTGGAAAATGAGAGATGAATGTTAAACTTGGGTATCATTCAAGCGAACTCTGAACTTAGGTAGGTTTTGAGTGTAAGAATGATAGTGAATATATTACAACTTAAATAAATTATATGCTAAAAAGAAATAGGAGAAGAAAAGTTGAGCACTGAATGAAAAAGCGTCAAATTGAAATTGAATTGCGGGTGACAACTGACTGACAAGAGGAAACGTTGAGAAAGTGAGAACCTTTGTAGTGCAAGCGAGGGGCCAGATTTTGATGAGGTCATCATAGTCCGCAACATCTAGATGGAGGGACAAGTGCCCAAGCTTTGAAGTAGAGGCCAATTGCAGGTGGGAAAACTTCAGCTTTGGCGAGATTGTCAAACACCTTGCATGACACCCTTGATTATGTGCGATACTCCAATCTTACTTCAACGTAAGTGTAAAAATTTAAATTTAAGCATAAAAAATATTTTTTATGCAATAAAATCATAAAACTTTCAGATTAAAATTAATTATCTCTTATTAGATGCAAATTTTCATAATTCATATCAAAATAATCTGAATAAAAGCTAAATGCTATTTTGTACAAATCATCTTTTAACATCTGACAGAATTAAAATCCAAAAATCTAACCGAATTAAAATCCAACTGAACGAAAACTCAATGTTATACCATAAAAACCAACATTAAAATCTTAATAAGTGAGTTAAATATTACAACATGAGAGCTACCCTAAAATTCCCAAAGATTTATTGCTTCTTCACTCATTCTATAGGTAAATTGGTCATCGAGACTCACTACGTCAATCAAAGCTAAAAACCGAAAAGTCAAAAAAATAAAAATAAAAGAACTGATATGCGTATTTTGCATCATCCATACCCACATACAAAACCATAGGAAAGTGATCACCCGACACTCACTAATGACCATAGATGGACAGCTAACGACCATAGATGGACAGTCCCTGACATACCGTGCCACCAAACACCACTTCAAGCACACATCTCCGTGCCACATTCTACCAATGCACAGAGTTACAAGATTGTGTAGTATAAATATTAATCATGCAGTGTTAACAGAAACTGGCTTCCCCCGACCCATAGCAAATCCTCTTGTGCCATCTGGCATACGAGGACCAGGGGCCTGCTTCGCCACACTTGCTTGCTCGTCACTGACCAAATTACTTGAAGCTAAAGGGGGGGTGCTCACATGATTTCCACGACTATTATGATGGTTATTATGGTATTGAACCCGCCCTCGTCCTTTGCATCGGCCCCTGTTTCGCCCTTTTTTCTGTCCACACTCTTTGTCATTGGAATGCTCGTCTCCCTGCACAGGACAAATCATGGTATGATACTTAGCCTTCTGGAAATTGGGATAAAAAAGGAACTATAATAGCAAGCATATGACGAAAGAGCCAAGCTTGCTTTCTAGCTTCAAAAAGTTAATGGTATCAGTGGTGAGCCAATGCCTTACCATATACATCACTGCATTGCTGCCAGTCATTATCTTAGGAAGGAATCTTCAAAGCAATAGCAAAACAGATGCGGAACAAGCCCATTATTAGAAGCAGAGCTCAACCATCCCAATTCCAATTATTTTCATAAGTTTAGCAAATTAGTCACTATTAGAAAGGCACCATATATTCATAATATTCAAAGAGCCATTTCCAGTATTTAATTGTCTTAGGATCATCTTTTTCTCTTTTCATAGTTAATTTGTGTTAGAGGGGATCTATTCCGAAACTGGGAGAGCCTAACTCGAGGTAAATACTTATTATAATAATTGGATTGGCACTTACGGGATACTCATGTGAATGGATATCAGACAACCGAGAAGGGTCTTCTTGTTGTTTCTCATTTGACTGCTGCTCAGATGTAGAAGCATCATCTTCCTCATAATGACCTTCCCCATCATGGCCCTTTTTCCCTCTTGCATGAGCAGGTTTTGACTAAGAATGAGAGAATACAAATACAAATCAATGGTCTAGTCTTGCTTCATGAATCAACTGAAATTTGAAATAGCCAAACAAAATGAATTTTCTAAATCAAACCAAGATTTGAACTGAAATTAATCAAATGTGTGATATATAGGACACAAATTCAAAATAATAATAACAATAGGATTTCTTTTTCACATTGTATGTGTTGGGGGACTTTATAATCTACTAAATGCTCACTTATTTAAGATTAAATTGGTAAACAATACATAAGTTTCACACCAGAAACTATCTGGAGATATGAAATGTTAAACAGCTCAAATAACAGACTACCATCCACTCCATGATCTTTCGGAATCAAGCAAAAATATTGATCTGTTTTTATTTCACTGAATTCATAATTCATTCGGTGTCACAAACATGGAAGGAGAAGAGAGAAAAAAGCTTAAATATCACCACCACATACAGCACGTCTAAGCATTAGGCGGACCCTCAGGCCAATTCTCCAATTTCCCTCATCATTCAGCTCTGCTACCTGCAAAATAAGATGTTTATCCATCTGTTTACAACCATGGAAGATAAAAGGGAAATCTTATGGGAAATAGGAGTACTTACTGCTTTCTCAGCAAGCTCAACAGATTCATATTCCACATACGCATGCAACTACAAAATAAAGAGTCCAAAATTAAATCATCCTATACCCAAGAGTTAACACTTGTTAACCAGGAAAAAAAAGAGAATGTGATATCTTTCCAAAGAATTAGACCAGAAAAAGAAAGAAGATATCTTTCCATAGGAAATAAACACAATAGCTAGCAGATGCATGATGAGCAGATGCACCTTGTTACTAAAACTCAAGCCATCACTTTTTGCTGATCTAGATGCTGAAGATACCCCAGAACCAGAGGGTTGAGGCTGACAGGTACGGATTGTCTTCACACTAAGAATGGATCAAAGACATGATAAACATGGTTAAAACCAAAAATCACTACCTAGGCTTTATAATTTCTTTAATTAGGTAATAATCTTGGTACCTCCCAACAGCAGAGAAAATTTTCATAAGGTTTTGATGGCAGTGATCCTCGGGCAAATTTTCAGCAACAACTATACGAGACTATGTATCACAAGTGTTTGGAAGTGAAATGTAAGACATTAGCACACTTGATTTGATTGAACATAATATAATATAATATAATGAAGGATGAAAACAAATTTCTCATACAATATTCTGACATTTAAAGAAATATTCTACAAGACTGCCTGACTATAAAGAAAAACATGACATTTAAAGAAAAGACGCGTAAAAACTTGCATAAGAAGAAGTAGAATGCGAAAAAGAAATATGAATAAAAACCTTACTTGCAACTCTTCCATATCTGATTCAGTTAGGGGATGCTGGCGTCTTACTTTCTTTCCATCTTCACTAACCACCTATGCATTATGGAATCAAAAAGATATATGCAAGGCCATTAAAGAGATATGAAGCAACTACGTGTAGAAATAAAACATTGAGAAGCAAAAGTAAGTGCATGAAACAACAGTACAAGGAAAATACTCACAAGCTTCAATGAGTTCTGCAAAACGCTAGCTAGCTGGGAATGAGTAGTTATGAGGGCTTTAATCTTCTTAAAAGATGCAACAACAGATAATGGCACTATATGGAAAGCAAAGAAAATACTTATATTAGTCTGAATGCAGAATAGTTACTATTAAAACAAGTTCAAAATCTTCAATGTAGAACAAGTCAACAATCTTTAAGACTAGGTGAACTCATATCAGTAAATTAATAAAGACAATGGACAAGGTGAAAGCAAAGCATCCACAAAACGGTAATGAGCAACTAGATTATACAATAGCAACAACTAGATTATATAATAGCAATGTTAACCATTTGTATGGTATAAACGACATTAATGTGCATGAACACTTTAACTTGATAGGAATTTGCATAAACTAGAGTTCCAGTCTAAAACTTTTTGCTGGGAATGGAATGAAATCATACCATATCCTTCAGGATCCTTGTTAATGAACCTCATAAGATGATCGGTGGTGGCCAAGTTCAAATCACTAAAATAGTACTCAACCTGCGAAATAGATTGTTGTGTTTTACATTAGGGAAAAATTATAGAGGAACAAGACAGAGGAAAAGGGCATGTTCAGAAAACTGGTAGTACCGACGGTTAAAATAAATTCCTAAAGAAAATGGCAGCATTAGTCCAGCATTTGATCATTTTGAAATACATTTATCCACCAATGATTAGCTTATGACAGATTCTCGAATAAAGAGAATTAATCAAAGAAAGAAATAACACTAGATTTGAAGGACAAAGTCACCAAACAAAAGAGCATAAACAGTGGAACACTTAAAATTGCAAAGCAGAAGCGGCAAACCATTGGTTGAGTGATGCTAGTTATGACTGGTGAAATTCATTCAGACCTGCATTCAAAATCTTTAATGTAGCTTTCTTCGGATAGGTACATTTTGAGGAAGTATGCACCAATGATCCTTGTGGCTCCTTCTGTTGATCCTTCCTCCACAACGGCCTCAATTTCTTGCTTTCTCGATGGTGATGATGATTGATGATTCTGGTAAGCGATGATTGAATGATTCCGCATGGCACATGATGGTGACGGGAACCATGTGACGCGGCATAGGCACGGGGCTATGGACGGGAAGATGAAACGCTGTCGGAGGAGGAGGAAGAGGAGGGTAGACCTGCAGCATCCCAGGGGGCGGAGGAGGAGGGATCATCATCCTGTGATTTTGTTGCTGCTGCAGAGGCGTAGAGCGAGTAGGCACAAATTCCGGCGCCTGTGCGTTGAGTCGACTGGATGACAAGTTCCACGACAGGTGTGGATCTGAAGATGAAGAAGAAGAGGATGATTGGGGTGAATCTAGGGTTTCCAACTGGGCCATTACTTGGGGATACACAGAATTTAGTTATTTTGTTCTTTTTATTATTATTATTTGAGCTTAGAAAAGGATATATGGCTGAGTGATCTCAATGTGACTATGTAGAGGGTTTGCTGCCCGTAGGGACTGAAGGCCCCGAGAAGGGCGAGGAAAGAAGACAATGGAGAGGATTTCTCGCCGTCCGCTAAACCATCTTTGCGCCCCATTTACACTCGTCCACTTTTCTTTTTTGGTGATGTGTCGTTCTCTCTTTTTACTTTTTCCAGGTACGCTGGTATATTTTTTTAAAAAAATTTTTTAAGTTTGATAATTATTTTGACTTTGGATTAATTTAAAATTAAATTAAATTTCATAAAAAAAATAAATTTTTTCGAATTTATTTTTTTATTTATAAAATTTAAAATTAAAATTTTACTTAAAATAAATTAAACTCTTTATCACTCAAACAAATAAAATTTTTTTTGAGTGATTAATCAAGTGCTTTTTTAATATATTATAAAGAAATTATTAGAACAAGTTAACAGATTGATACATATTTTTATTGTATATTTAAAAATAAAAAATTTAAAATATGTGTTATTTTATCAATTGTGTTTATAGAATTAAAAATAATTCTACTCATACTATATCAAATAATTTTTTATATTATATTTATAAATAATTTCTCTTATAAAAAATTATCAAATATATTATCAATACAGTTTTTAATTTTACAAACAAGATAAATATATGATACATGTCTCTTAAAATATATATATTTTTTAAAATAATTAAAAAAAGAAATGAAACATTTATAGTTATGTTAGTTTCACTTGTGAAATTAAAAAAATTATATTAATAATGTATCAAATAATTTTTTATATTTATAAATTTATATTTGATATATTATTAATAAATTTTTTTATTTTTATTAATAAAATAATATTATTTAATTTATTAAATATATATAACTAGTTTTTTTACCCGTGTCATGCATGAAATTTTTTATTATATTTTTTATAATTTAAATTTTTAATTTATATTAATTTTATATTATATATAGATAAATAAAAATATTCATAATCATTTATAATTTGTAGTGTAAAATTACAAAAATCATGTATATATAAATTATTATGAATGAATCCAAATAAGCATTATGAAAGTTTTGAATTATGAAAGTAAAATTACATACAAATCTCAATAAAAAAGTTAATCTATAGTTCACAATTGCATACACTTTTAAAAGTATATATTATTTTAATATAAAAATTAATATTTACACATGTGATATATCATAAAAGATTTTTTCATATTTGATTTTGAAACTTTATAATACCAAACTTTTATGACAAATATCTTATTGTTCTATCTTTTATAAAGAAGAAAATATCAATTGTGAGAAAAAATCATAAATATATATTTGATAATTATTTAATTTTAAAAAATTTTAAATTTTTAAAAATGTAGTTTGTTTAAGTTTAATTTTAAATTAAGATAAAGAAGTTAGTATAATTTTAAATATAGATATATATATGTAATTTTAAATTGAGATAAAATATATATTTTTTTATTTTAAATCATAGAAAAATAAAGACAAAAAGATTATTAAATAACAATGATTCAACCATAAATTTTTTCTATTTAAATTTATATGAATATTGATTTAGATGGTATGTGATTTTTTATAATTACTAAAATTTAGGGATTTAACTTTTAAAAACTATTTGAAATTTATATTTCATATAAATGAGTAAGAGTAAGACATGAGATATATTTTTTCAAGTTTAAATTAAGATAAATTTATATATTTTGAAAGATTTTAATAAATGTAAATTTTGAAATTTTAAAATTTTTTAAAATTGAATAATTGATTGGATAAAGTTATTTAAAATTATTTTCTGTGTTAATAATATAAATTATTCACCAAACATCCACATAAATAAAATTTATCAAATTTTTATGTATATATTAATATAATATTATATATAATTCATATAACGAAATAGTATCATCTTCATATATTATAAAATCGTAAATACTCTTTTCAACTTTATCGTCATCATTCGTATTGTCATGCCTCTTGAATCCTTTTTATCCATTATGAAATAAAAAATAAATTAACTAATCTTCACATTCTTTGCAAAGATTCTTATTCAATATTCAATATTTTAATATTATATTTTTTAAAAACTACAAATGAATTTGACTTAAGGGTAAATCTTTGTACTTTTTATATATTTTTTAATTTGTAGAGCCAAATTCGATTTTTTAATAAAAATAATAAAAAGCTACAGTACAAAATATTATTGCATTTAATGAAAATAAAACAAAAAATAAATAAAAGCTAGTAGCATGTATGGTTCTTCGTCACCTCGAGATTAGCTTGAGAAACAGCTTTCCTACATCAAAAAAACACACGAAAATGAGGGAGATAGAAGATAAAAATGGCAACTAGTACTACACTACTAGTTCGACTAGAAGTAGAAGCAGCAGCACTCCGAAGAGAAGACCCAAAACTGGACACGGGTGTTCAAAAAGCATACACAATACGTATGGAGAAGTGAAGAACTACAACCCTCTTTTCTCAAAACAAAAAAGAAGCTCACAGTTCCACTCAAACTGTTATGTCAAAAAATTTTCAGTCATCTCTCATGACATAGGCTTTCATTTTTCCTTTTGGACAGGAAACTCACATCTTATCACCGTTGACCGTTGCTTGGAATTCGTCGCTTTTGAATCCACCTTCCTTTTAACATTAGGGAGTGAAAATGTTGTGCATTCCCAGTCTGACTCAAGCCTGAAAAGACATGTTGAGCTGTCGTGTTCAAGTGCAAAGGAAAGGATCAGAAGATACAGCACCTTTATTCCGAGCTACTCTCAGTTGGCTGGAGATCTTCGGACGGCAGTTTGTCTCCCAACAGCCGTGTATCAATCTGGGAATGGGATACAACCGATTCTAGTTTTCAGTTCGAATCATTTGACTACACTCCAATTCCACGGATCTTTCTCAGTTTCAGAAATGTTGGATGATCAATCCCTTGTGGACATCGAATTCTACCATCCGAAATTATGTCCAATCACAAGATGAGATATCCTGGGATCAGAAGACCCACAGCATTAGTTAAAGGTTGAAAACATTCCCTACACCAACATTGTTCTTCAGACTGGCAGGATTTGAAAAGGCTCACATGCTATTGACATTAAGTCCTCTTCATCTGATAGCCATCTGCAGCTGTCAAACTCATCCCTCTCAAAATCCGACTTACTAATCCCATTCTCATTTGTGAAAGTAAAGACACAGCTTCATTCTCCCTAGCAATAAAAATATTTTTTTTTATATATTTTATGTAAAAAATTTAAATGTAAATACAAGAAAAACATAAATATGGATACTTTTCAAGTAAATATTAATATGAAAATATCTTTTAAAATCAGTTTTGAGTTAAAAATTGAAACCTCTAAAACCATTGGACCAAATAATTATTGTAAAGGGGAAAGCTAGAGAGACTAAAGTGGAAATACTTTAACCAAAGGGGTGCAAAATGGAATTATAATATTGTCATTTAAGTACCCAAAAACAAAAACATTTTTAAATTTTTAAATTCTTATGCCTGCCTATTTGGCTATTAGTTACAAAACAATTTTCATAGATAACTAAATTTAAATTCGTGCTATGCATAAGCAAATAAATCAGTTATATACTTTTGTACATACACTACTGCTTCAAAAATAAAAGATTATTTATTAAAAACAAAATTTTTATTTTAAAAAATAGTATGTTTATAATTTTGATAAGAAATTGTAGTTTTATAATAATATGTAATGTTAGAAATCTCATTATATAAAATGGGTGGTATATATATATATGTATGTATGTACGTATGTACGTATGTATGTATATGAAAATGGATCAACTTACACTAATATAAAACTTTTTAATTTTTATACTTTCTTAAATATTGATTTCAATAGATTTAAAAGATGAGATTAAACTTCTTTATTTTTTACTTATCACTCTCAGTTCTGTTAATTTAAATAAAATCAATGAAAGAAAAAGATGTAAAAAGATGTACATATATATATTAACGCTATACTTAGGAGAACTTAACTATTGGTATCTATAAATTAGTAACTTTAATATTCATATTTATCTCATCTTTATCATAAATTTTATAAGTTAATAGATGCAATTGGAATTATTTCCTTTTAATCTCTAAAACTACAACATATAAATTTTCCCAAAGAATTAGAGTGAAACAATTGTTATGTATTAAAACACATACCATATTTATTTGATTAGTGAACTTTCAATTAATATTAGTATTTGATTTACCTAATTAAAAAAATCATTAA